ACAACTTCTAACCCAGATTGATGTAGCCCGCAAAGCTATATTTCAAAAGTAATGGAGGAATAAGATAATTTCAAGCTAAAGAACAACTGAACAAATTCATGACCACCAACCAAACCCTACAAAGAGTGCTGAAAGATATTCTAGATAGAGATAAAAATGACCACAATTCCAAGAACAACAACAGAAAGAAATCATCAGGTAGGGAAAGCAATTAAACAGAGGGAAAGCAGAGAACCAATAGGAAACTAACGTAACAAGGAGAAGCCAGTACACATCTGTTATAACCATCAATGTTAATGGCCTCAATTCACCCTTCAGCAAAACTAGATTGGCAGAATGGATCAAGAAACAGCATTCAACAATATACTGTGTACATGAAACACATTTAACTGAAAAAGAGACTCATAGATGGAAAGTCAAAAGATGGTAAAAAATATATACTCCATGCAATATGAACCCAGAAAACAAAGCAAGGTTAGCTATACTGTTTGAGAAATGTGAATTTCAAACCAAGAATGATCAAAAAAGATAAAGAAGGGCATGACTCATTAGGGGAAAACTTCACAGAGAAGATATAACAATCATAAATATGTGTGCACCAAATATGGAAGCACCCAACTATATGAAGCCAATATTAATAGGCTTGAAATATCAAATAAGCAATAACATCATTGTAATGGGGGACCTTAATATACCACTGTCACAAATGGATCGGTCAACTAGACAAAAGAGCAAAGAAATAATAGAACTAAAGCAAAGCTTTGAACAGCACATAGTAGATGTTTACAAAATGTTCCAATGAACATTATTAGAATACACATTTTTATGAGTTGTGCATGTGATGTTCTCTAAAACAGACCATACATGCTACGCCATACAACATGCTTAAGAAAATACAAAGGATTGGAAATCATCTGAACATAGGGAAATGAAATTGGAAATTAATGGCAAAAGAAACCATAAAAAATCCATACACAGATGGAAATTCAATAACATTCTCAGGCACAACCAATGGGTCACAGATGAAATTAAAGAAGAAATTCAATATGTACAGTCAAACCAAAATGCAAATACAACATACTAGAACCTGTGGGACACGATGAAAGCAGTGCTAAGAGGGAAATTTATAGCAGTGAGTTCTCACATCAGCAAAACAGAACAAGCACAACTAAACAACCTAGGGATGCACCTCAAGCTTCTAGAAAAAGATGAGCAAGTCAAACCTAAAGCCTGTATAAGGAGGAAATCATAAAAATCAGAGCAGAAATTAACATAATGAAGATGAAGAAATCAATGCAAAGAATTAATGAACTGAAGAGTCGGTTTTCGGAAAGAATAAACAAAATTGAACGTCCCTAGCCAACATTATCCAAAAAGAAAGAAAAATCTCAAATGAGTGAAATGAGGGATGAAAAGAGTGAAATCACTGCAGATCCTGGGGAAATCCACAAGCTCATCAATACCCACACAGAAAATCTTTCCTTGCATAGGAGAGAAAACACAGAAGAAATGGACAGATTCTTAGAAATGTATGAATTACCAAAGCTGAGTCAAGAAGATGTACATATTTGGAATAACCCAATATCAGTTAATGAAATTGAAAACATAAATAAAAATGTAGCATAAAACAAAAGCCCAGGTCCTGCTGGATTCTCTGCTGAATTCTACAAGAAATCTATAGATCATTTAATGCCAATACTCTTCCAACCCTCAACAAAATTAAAGGGAAGCAATTCTTCTTAACTCATTCCTGGAGGCAAGTATTACCTTGATAACAAAACCACAGAAAGACCCAACCAAAAAAGAACTATGGGCCATCTCCCAAATGATCATAGATGAAAAAATCCTCAGTGAAATACTAGCACACAAACAGCAGTGAATCATTAATAGTATACACCATGACCATGTTGGGTTCATTCCAAGAATGCAGACATGTTTCAACATATATAAATCAATAAATGTTGCACACCTTGTCAACAGTTTCAAAGACAAAAATCACATGATCATCTCCATAGATGGAGAAAAAGTTTTGATAAAGTACAACACTCATTCATGTTAAAAAAAACCTATAGAAAATTGGAATAGATGGTCTTTACCTTAATCTGATAAAAGACATTTATAACAAAAAACAGCCAACATCATAATGGATGAAAACTGAAAATGTTCACTGTAAATCCAGGAACAACACAAGGATGTCCACTATCTCTACTCCTGCTCAACATGAGCTCTGGAAACATTAGCCAAAACAATTAGATAAGAGGAGGAAGTAAAAGGAATAAGGAAAGGAAGAAGTAAAATTATCATTACTCACAGATGACATGATACTCTATGTATCAACCCACAAAACTACACCAGAAGACTTCTAGTTTTAATAACCATATTCAGTAGCATATCTGGATACAAATTCAACATTCAAAAATCAGTAGCCTTGGGCACTGGGGATTTAGCTCAGTGGCACAGCGCCTGCCTGGCAAGCGCAAGGTCGTGAGTTCGGTTCCCGGTACCAGACCAAAAAAAAAAAAAAAAAAAAATCAGTAGCCTTCCTGTACATGAATAACAAACTCTCTAAGGGAGAAATCTGGGAAAATACACCCTTAACAATAGCATCTCCCCAAGTACATAGGAATCAATCTAACAAAGCAGTGAAGAAATCTAGACATTGGAAGTTATACTACTCTGAAAATAAAGGTGAAAGATGATATGAGAAAATGGAAAGAGATCCCTGGCTCATGAGTACAAACAACCAACACAGTGAAAATGATGATGCTCCGAAACCTGTTATACAGATTTAATGTAATGCCTGTCAGAATATTATTAGCATACCTCAGTGATCCTAGAACACCTTTGTAAAATTCATTTGGAAACAGAAAAGATCTAGAATTGCAAAAGAAATCGTGGACAACAAAGGCAAGTCAGGAGGCCTCACAACCACTGACTTAAAAGTGTACCACAAAGCCACTATGATAAGAGCATCAGGGTATAGCAAAGAAAAACAAAAAGCAAAAATAAATAATAAATAAATAAAAACAAAAAACAACAAAAAAAACAGACCTGAGGATCAGTGGAGCAGATTAGAAAACACAGACACCACTACAAACACACTCAGCCACCTTATCTTTGATAAAGGGTCCAAACCTGTTCCCTGGAAAAAAGATAGCCTCTTTAATAAAAGGTACTGGAAAAACTGGCTCTCCACATGATGAAGACTAAAAGTACACACATATTTATTATCAGGCACTAAACCGAAATGAAAATGGATTAGAGATCCTAACAGTAAAAGAGAAACACTAAATCTACTAGAAAAGAAATTAGGTACAAATGCTCAAGATATATGGGTAGGCAGAGAGTCCATGAACAAACCCCAAACTGCATGGGAAGTACTTCAAAGAATCAACAACTGGGACCTCAAATATTTAAAAGATTTTCCCATCTAAAGAAATCACCAACAGAGAGAAAAGACAACCCGCAGAGTGGAAAAAATTTTAACCTACTGTCCCTTTGAGAAAGGACTTCCATATGGATCATATTTAGAATTGAAAAAAATCAGAGCCCCCAGATTCAAAGATCCAATCCAAAAATGGGTATTAGAGATGAATATACATGTCTCAGAAGAAGAAATACAAATGGCAGGGGATAAGGATTTAGCTCAGTGGCACCGCGCCTGCCTGGCAAGTGCAAGGTCAAGAGTTCAATTCCTGGTACCGGAGAAACACCAAAACCACCCCCCCCAAAAATAAATACAAATGGAAAATAAATATATGAAAAAATGTTCGACATCATTAGTTATTCAAGAAATGCAAATTAAAACTACACTGAGATTCCATCTCACTCCAAAGATGATGGCTATCATCAAAAAATCAACCAGTAATAAATGCTAGGTCTGCTGTGGGGAAAAAGGACCCGTTCTCCACTGCTGGTGGGAGTGTAGACTGGTGAAACCACTGTGGAAATCAGTGTGGAGATACCTCAAGAAACTAGGATTGGAGGTCCTATTTGATTCAGGCATTCTCTTTGTGGGTATTTTCCCAGAAGAATTAAAAACATCATACACAGTGATATATGTGCACCCATGCTTAGAGCAGCAGAACTTGTGATAGCTAAATCTTGCAAACTACCCAAATGCACATCAACTGCGGAATAGATAAAAGCTGAAGTGGTATTTTTATACAATGGAGTACTACTCAGCTATAAAGAAGGATAAAGTACCTTTTTATTTGATGGAAAAAAGGTAAAACAAAAATTCATAACAACTGATAGGAGAATAACAATGGTCAACACATTACATGTCATTATCTTTAAAGTAGTTGTTCAGGGTACAAAATATGGGCATAAAAGTTTCTCCAATTGATATTAGCACAAACCTTTCTTTTTAATGAACTAAGAGAAACTTGCATTATTTCCCTTTTACCTACTGTCCTTTCTCCTTTCACCTGATGTAATTCCTGTTTTTCTCCCTATTGTAAAAAACTGCAAGAATAAGTAACATCTAAAATGTACAATAGATGCTGTGAAAGGAGAAGAAACTGCTCAAAAGCAAAGAACAACTGGGATGGGAAAATGACAAAAACAGGAAAGGAAAAATATCTATATCTATATAGGTATATAAATATATAGATAGATCTAGACATGTAGACATATAGATACACATATGTATACACAAGATAGCTAAGATAATTGTACTAGAATTTCTATTAGTTCACAAAAAAGAACAGTTTGTGCTTATATTGTTTGATCAGTTTTTCATGCCTATGTCTTGTAATCTGAGCAGCCACTTGAAGCTAAAAATACAAATTATATTAGCCATTCTTAATCTCCTATTATCTTGTTTTGTAATTCTGTCATGTTGATTTCATTGTTTTTCTCTTTAAAATAAGAAATGAAAATTGAGTTATTCAATTTCAAATTATTATCTTTACATGAGCAAAATTAGGGGCAGAAAACTGATGACAGTGTTAGGTCACTTTTGGTTAAGAGAGTGTGCTATGATAGTTACAACATACCTCTGCAGTTCCTGTGGCCCACTCTATCATATCCTCAGATAAAGTCATTTGTTGGCCATGGGGAGCACGTGAAGAAAATGTTCCTACTTTAACCTTCAGTCTAAGGCCTTCTGGAAAATTCCAGAAATTGAGAATGTCATACTCTGAATCCAGTTTCCTTCTGTCATCCAAGTTCACTTGGTCTCCAGCAGGATTGTGAAATTGGATGTTCTTCAGAAAATGATGCAGCTGAAAGAGACACATCGTCCTATGTGAACAGGGCTCCAGGACAAGGACAGAAAATATGGTTGGGGGGAAGTTCCTAACTGTCATTAATACCACTTACATAGAGCAACTTTAACACTGGTATCTATTGAATTGGAGCATATGAATGTCTAAGGATTAAAATTTCACCATGTTAAATAATATCAGTCAGTTTCAGAAAGAATATTCTATGCAAACTGATTTAAATAAAGTGTACAGTTGTGTTAGGGGAAACATTAACAGTGGAATCAAAGCTTCTAAAACCAACAACTTCCACTGTCGTTCTGGTTATTCCCATAGGATCTACCGCAAAGTGAGTTCATCAATATTTGAAGAGTTTCTAGAATTAAGCGAAATTTAATTATGTGAACTGTCAGGCTTAATGACATAAGTTTTTCAAGTGACTGTAGGTTTTCCATTTGTCCTTTAAGAAAATAATGGAACATGTTTACATGGGTAAGGTGCTGACATCCTGTAGACAGAAGCAATGAGCTCTCCTTGTACTACCTCCTGAATGCCATGGCTCCTTGATTGATAATCATTTCAACTCAGCTCAAGAATTATCTCCTTAACAATAAGTGTGATACACAATGTCTTGTATTTTGTAGAAATGGTTCTGATACTCCTGGGTAAAACACATAGAATAACTTGAGAGGGGCACCTTTATAACACTGCATGCCATCCAAGAGAATACACTTTACCTGCCAGGGGGAAAACATCATCACTTGTCTATTTCTCATTACTGGCCTTTGCACTTCTTCCAAAAGCATCGCATGAAGGGCATGGGCCACAGCGTACACAGCGTTGTATATATTGTAGCTCCTATCATTCATGGTTGTGTCAAAACGATTTGCAGGCAACCAAGCCACAGAGGCATTAGGTGTGCAGTTCTTCAAGGCACAGTCAGACTCAGACAATGAGCAATCAACATTCTTGGACCAGTACATAAAAAGATAAGTGTCCTCTGGGTATTTGAAAGGGGTAGCTTCCTGGACAAAATGTTTGAAACCTGAAATCTCTTCATGGTGGTTTGAAAGAATAATAATTCCATGTAATGGGTCAAGTATGAAATCTCTCCCAGACAGGTCAGCATGCCATTGTGAGTTTGTCACCCAGACTTTCCATGTCACTGAGTTTTGCACTATGTTGTAGTTTATATCATTTAAACTATCAGTATCATAGTAAATAACCACCACATTGGCTGAAGAGGTATCTGCAGTCAGGATATCATGTTTCTTCATGACTGAGAAATATGACACAGCCAGAGTTGAGACCATTTTCACAAAGGCTACACAGACTCTGTTCCTGTCCATCTCAGCTCTTATATCTGAGAGAAACTGAAGACCCTTCTGGCCTTCTGTGATGAGCAGGCCCACCCAGGTCCAGCGGAAATGAAGCATCAAGGACACCATGCCGAGGGCCAAATATGTGTCCTTTGGGGCCACCTGATAGAGAGAAGGATACTGGCCACTGTCAATCAGTGTAGGATCAAATGAGTCAAAGGTAACCTTGAAGGAAAAGAAAACTTGTGATGTCCTGAAGTGTTGATGGAAAGCACCGTAGTAGAACTAAAGTGTATTGAGTACCATCTACAAGCTGAAGAAGGAGACATGTGTTCTTTCCACCCTTCTAAACATCTCCCTCAGGAGATTTTTTTTTTTTTTATTTTAAGGATAAAAGGAGGGAAACATTAACAGACGTACAACATTTTACAACATATCACAAGCACAATACAGACAATACAGAGTTACAAACAAAGTGGTAGGGAATTAACAATGGTGGTTGTATTACATATTGATATCTTCAAAGTGGCTTCTCATGAAAACAGATAGAGAAGGGAAAAAAAGGAGAAATTTTGTATGTATGTATATACAGGATAGATAACATGGTTGTTCTTCTATCTGCTGTTTCTATGCTGAAAGAAACTGTCAATGAGTCTTTGGTTGACCAGTATTGCATGTCTATAGGAGATTTTTTTTTTAATGAATGAATGTACTGAAACATCCCAGAAACATATTTCTTTCTTTACTTTTTAATCCAAAAAAAAAAGGAAAGAAAAGGAAAACAAATTGTCTATAACCCATGAATTTTCTGTGTGCAGAGACTCTGCTGCATTATACTCTTTGAAAGATGCATATCTCAGGCTCACTTTTAACCCTTTATGCTCCTGGTAGTGGATGCTGCCCGGATGTGCTTCTACAATTTCTTGTCCCACCAACCCTCACCTGTGGGAATTTGTAGAGTTCCAGTAGTGGTCCAATCTGAGCTGAGGCGCCCCATGACATCTCTGTCACTACTGCTGCACACTTGCTTTCTCTCCCACACGTGTAATTAGGGATCTCGTGTTGTCCTGTGAGCAAAATGAAGGAACTTTCTAGTATCCTCCAATGACTGTAAAGGAAAGTATGGAACTCATAGCCCAGAGAAATGTTGGGTAAAAGATGAGGATTCCTGTTGATCTCTTCTATGGCGAAAGTGAAGGCCAGGTAGTTCTGGTAGTTGCTGGGTGTCAGCCTGCAGGGAAAGCACAGAGGTCCTTAGGGAAAAGATTCAATCAATGATTACTTTCCAGTGCAGTCCAGTACCATTTGTGGACTGAACGCTTATGTTCTTTCCATACACTCCTATAATTAGAACTCTAGTATGGATACAAAGATAATAGAAGATTGAATTTTAGATGGTAATTAGAATTTAATGAATGATGGGGCTGATTTTCTCACGGAAGAGCTTAGCGGCCTTACAAGATTCCTGGAAGAGTTGCTTTATCATTGTGTTATATTTATTATACAGTTAACATGACCCTGCTGTGTGTGTGTGTGTGTGTGTGTGTGTGTGTGTATAGTCAGAATAAAATTTATGTGTAGAATGACACTGTGTATGTCTATAGAAAAAGTGATACTTTTAAATATCCTCACAGTTTGCAAGGAGAAAAATAATGTATTTACTGAAGTGCATATAGTATTCAATAATAACAAGCATCCATTTCTGTTTTAGGAACAAGATAGTTCCTTAGTAGTATTATTTAAATGTATTCCAAACAGAATTGCTCTCCACACTCATGCATATGCATAAAGATGCGGGTGATGGGTACAGTAATCCACTTGATTTAGCTATTAGGTAATATAAATATGTAGCCACACAAAACATTGCATCCATGCATATATATAATTGTATGTGATAACTAAAGATTAAGTTAAAGATAAAACTGAAACTCTTTCAATCAAAACTTAGATTTTGCTTAAGGAGTAAAGCAGTGAGTTACATGATAAGTGGTGAAGGTCAGGAGTGCAAGTTCCCCCTCTATCCAGGCACTCATGGCACAGACAGTTGCCCCACCCTTCCCCTCCTGAGAGATCGCTGCTAAGAGCTCTGAACATAGTACTGACAAAGTGCAATCTCCTTCGAACGCTGTGGAGTGAAGCTTCTTAATGAATCAAGAGTACATTCTTAATGAATGTAAGCTTCTTAATGAATCAAGAGTACATTCTTTTTTTTGTTTTGTTTTGTTTTTTTGTTTTTCTCCGGTACCGGGAACCGAACTCACAACCTTGCGCTTGCCGGGCAGGCGCTTTTGCCGCTGAGCTAAATCCCCAGCCCCTCAAGAGTACATTCTTTTTTGTTTTGTTTTTTTCTCCGGTACCAGGAACCGAACTCATGACCTTGCGCTTGCCAGGCAAGTGCTTTTGCCGCTGAGCTAAATCCCCAGCTCCTCAAGAGTACATTCTTAATGAATCAAGACTACATCAAGAGTATGTTCATTGAAAAAGTAGTCAAAACAGTATATCCTTGTCAGCATAAGAACTACTTAGTATTTCTCTGGAGTTTCTAAGCCATAGAATAAATACTCAGCAAGTTAGGAGAGAAGAAAAGGATGGAAGCAACAAGCAAGCATGAATATCCTACTTGGAATAAGATTATTCACCTAGAAATTAACAGGAACTCCTGGTAAAGGCTCCAAACAAAAACTAAGTAAACGAGAAAAAAGAGATTTCCAATATAAAACTGGTGAGTGAAAGTCCTTTGAGAAAAGCGAATATAGTATAACAACAGCCTTAACAAAACTTACAATAAGACATTTTTAATATGTGATACAACAACCATTGTTAATTCTCTGTCGCCTTGTATGTAGTTCTGTGTTGCTTGTATTGTTCTTGTGCTACTTTGTAAATGGTTGTATATTTCTTAATATGTTTTCATTCTTTTACTTTTAAAATTTTAAAAAAAGATTTTAAAATAAAAAGATAAAAAAGTCCTAAAATTCTACTAAATAGGTAAAAACACTAAAAATGATGTTTCATAAATTTAATATTTAAAAATTCTATACATGTTGCCATCCCTCAAAAAAATTAAAAGAGAGAATTTTTGTATCAATGACAAATATTGCACAAGTGTGCTGAAATTTGCAAAATCTATAAAAGTACTGAAACTGTTTCAGAACATAAAAGCAGCATGTTATTTAGAAAAAAGCAGCTAAAGATATGGATACATCAATGAGGTAGAATTATAAAAATAATATGTCTATCTCCCTTTATCTACGTACCTACATATCTATCTATGTATTTATACATGTATTTGATTATCATCTATCCTTTCATCACAAGATTTGGTTAGAAGTTCAGCAAATATTAAATTATGTCATTCATAGTGAAAAGAAAACTATTGTGAAATCTGAAATTGAGTACACCCATTTGTCAAAAAACGAATTGAATACAAAATTACCACAAAACAAATTCTATTTTAAAATGTAAAAGTAATAAATGTAGGAAAAATGTATTTTCAATATTGTATATTGAGATGCATTGCAAACAGGAAAAAAATGCAAATGATGGTATTTTTGTCCAACCCAGAAGCTCATATGCATTTCTGTTTAATCATGATTTATGTAAAAATATTTACAACAAGCACAATCTTAGTAATCATTTTTAAAACACTTGGTCAAAAATATTTTCCTTTTCTTAACATGAAAAACATTTTTTCACAAATTAGGAAGCCTTTCCTCAGACAAAAAATTGGTGAAGGTTAAGTCATCAAATAAAATATTCTTAAGATAATGCATAAAATGTAACCAATGCAAATGTTAATAAAGGATATGCCTATATATCAACATGATGTCATTTGTTTAGCTTCAACTTAATCCAGTTGTCCAATGTAAAGGTCAAGGAAATATTTCTTCTCTGAGTGGTTGTTTGTAAATGCCCATTATTTTGTTGCAGTATATAGTTTGACAATGTGCATAAGACAAATTAAAGAATATATAACTTTGAACACAGCCATTTTACCCTTCAACATGCTTTAGCTTTAATCAGGAGCATTGCTCTAAGTATCACATATCTATTGCCCTCCTTAGATGACAGGAGGAATTAATTACAAATTTTGGAACCTGACAAAATGGGTGATAATTGAATTATGATAGGTTGAAATGATATAATTTTTTTCACACATAATAATAAGCAAGAATATATATATATATTTATGTATATATTATGTTATGTCACAAAAATACATTCATGCAAAACAGAGACAGAGCAATGCTACTTTGACTGTATTTTATATTTGTGTGCAGAAAAACCAAGGTATTATCAAGGTACAGTATAGATATTATGGCTACCTCATTTGCATATTTGAACCATATGATATTTTATAATATTGAAATTAGATTCTCCAAGATAAGGTTTATGTGAAGTATATAGTTTGCTTCTGTGTAAACATTCATATTTTCCAAAAGTTCTCTCGTTTTTCCTTCTCATTAGAGCAGAGATCAAAATTCTCTCCTGATCCCTAAACTCTTGTTCCTGGTGGCGACATCAGCCTGGGTATGGAAACTCAGAAATGCAAGTGTGTTCTTTTCAGCCTCAGACAGAACTCACATTGCAGGGCTCTAGAGCAGGGCGAACTGCAAAAGCGACCTGATTCTCTGAGCGTATGTGGGGACAGTAGAGGACAATAAAAGGGTAAGAAGCTCATTCTGTCTTCCTAGGAATAGAAACGGATCCTAAATCTATGAACTGTTCTGGAAATCTGATAATGCTTGATACCTGATAATGTTTGCATTCCCCAGTATACTCGGGTGATGTCTGATCACACCGGGCTGTCTTCAGTTAGAATCCTCTTGGGGGGTTTAGCCAGATGCCCTCACTGTCCCCTCTCCATGCTCCTCGTGAGCTCCAAACACACACGAGCCCATTCACTATTCAGAATCCACCTCCCCAAACCACATTTCAATGCATTCTATACTGAGGGTTATGTCCCAATCAAATAAAATCCTTCTTATAATTTTCAATAAGTGATATGAATAATTCGTCCTCTCACAGGGTTTAGGAGATTTTGATCAGTGTTCTCTCAAACAATCAAAAATAGTTCTGATCTGTCACCAACAGGAAACGCTCAGTAGCAGGAACCAGAATCAAAGTTTGTATGTTAAGCACATTGGTAAAAACACACGTTTTCAAAAATGATGGGAGAAAAACATACATTCAGGGTATAATGACAAATGCCTGTAATACCAGCTGCTCAAGAAGATTAAGCAGAGGAAATTCACAAGCTCAGGACTTTGCTGGTAGTATAAGCAGCACAGTAATCTCGGTCACAAAAGCTATGTAAACATGGGGAAAGTGTCTAGGAATAAAAATCAAACTGAGCATCTGGGTGTTATAGAGAGTATGAGATAGGTAGAGACCCCATCTACAGCAGGAAAAGACTCAAATTCTTTGCTCTGCTGTCCCTGCTCCCAAATAGGGTGTAGCCTTAAAGAGAGTACAGTTACAGCGAGTGAATGTACGGCTGGGATTCACAAATAACAAGTTTCTATCACCAAGTTTACAACAAAGTTTAATAAAGTGTTAGTAACTAACACATACATGATTACAGAAGAAAGAAAAAGCCCAGAAAAAGTTACATCACCGGGTCAGAAGAGCTTCCACACCTGAAATCCCAATTCCAGTGCTGAGTGGTCCCTTCGTATGGTTTTCAGGGTTCTGATTGGGAAGGGTCTGGGCAGAGTGTCCTCTCTATGCAAGTGATCCCAAAGTCCTCCTACCAGTGAGGCCCCCGAAATACCAGCTGAGACAAAAGTGGCAGCATCCCTACGTTGTGAGGGACCAGAAGCAAGCAGTTTGTGGCCCCCAAGAACTGGCCAAGTACCTGAGGGAACGAACATCTGCATCTTCAAGACAGGAGAGAAAGAATCTCCTTGGGAGCTGGCCAGGCTGACAATGAGATTCTGCTCACATCAGGTTTTCCACCAAGCATCCTAATGTGCAGTCTTTAGGACAAGGCCGCAGCTCTGTGTTATGACCAAGGAAGCTCTTTCTGTATTTAATTTTAACCCTTCATGTGTGCAGCTGCCACAGGAACACTGTGGGTCAGCATCTTCTGTAAGACTCAGTGAATCACTGTGTCAATGACATCTGCTTTTTCTCACAAAAGCACAAGTCATTTGCTAAAATTCTCTGACCCTAATTCATCATTTAATCATGGTTTGCATCAGACCAGATAAAATAGTATCTGAGTAGAGAAAAGGTACACACATCTAACTGAGGAAGAACTGCACTTGGGGAAAACTCTCACAGATGATTCATCCGTTAATCTGGGCCCATCTTGCAGCTTCAGGAGTCGTGGAGCACCCTAAAGTTTACTCGAAATAGTTACTGAATGTTTAGAGAAAGAAGTTCCTCCAAGAAGAAAGAGTAGAATATCAGAAGACAATCTGTAAGAATGTAAGGAATATTATGCCTAGCTAGAGAAAGAATATCAGCAAATCCTTGACTGTCTTAGGGGATATTTGGCAATAGCCACTTAGCATTCACTTCAATTTAAGGACTTTGTAAAGATAGAGTAAATTCATTTCATTACAGAAGATTTAGCAATAGGCACTTAGCGTTCAATTCAATCCAAGGAGTTCAACCAAGATGGAGAACATCACTTAACACCATGCAGTGGCATGTACATAGGAGGAAGTGCATGGACCATGGAATACGGTGGAGAGTGGGGTCCCTCCCAGGGTCCAAGAATGAGAACGAAGAGCTGGGAACACAAACAAACACAAAGGATATTCTCCTCCCCCAGTCAAAAGTAAAAAGAGGACAAGAAGGCCTTCTAGGGAGGCAGGTTGTGCACATGCGGGTGGGAAGAACAGGGTGGCCCTGTGCAGAGCATTGCTGCATCAGTCCATGAAACCCCAGCCATTGTCTATCCTGATGTCCAGAAGGAAAACAAACAACTGAAGGAGACACTTACGGAATGAAAAAGAATTCTCTAATAGGCTTTATACCCAAGGTACCAGAATAGTAGATACAGAAATAAAGAGACAGAAGACACCCAATCACCACATCCCCATCCTTGCGCACACTGGTGCCCCTTTGGTGAAGGCAGGCTTCATGATCTAAAGTACACACTAAGGCAGGAAGCTGCAGGAGAAGGAAGATAAAAGTCAAAATGAGCATCTTAGATGTGTATGCAAAGATTCAGGCTGAGTGAAGAGGAAACTTGCAGTGACAGCCAGGTAAATAAATATATTATGTGCGTGTTTCATCACGACATTACTTCTTGCTCAGGTGGACACTCTGCTGCCCTGGCCCCTGTCACCCGTGCCTGCTCCATTTCCCTGGAGAAGTTTTCCACCATTGTCCTCCAGGCTCTACACCTGAGGTCTGGTATGTTAGAGAAAAACAGAAGACAGAAATTATGATTGAGTATCATTTTCTCTGCCTAGAGCCACCACGATTTAATCCAGTTCCACTGATAGCAACATCCCAGGGGCCAGCTACTCTTGGGCAGATTTGCTCCTCAGTATTTGTCAGTAAACCATCAGCATGGATACCATTAGAGGTGTTACTCAATAGATTGCACTAGAGGACTTAATATGAGATTTCTCTTGAAATAGTGTGAAAATCCTCAAGGTCAGCCAAAAAATATTGGACATTGTGGCTTTCAGTGTGTAACACAACAGAGGAGAACGTTCCATCAGAAATACTCTTCTGCACTCCCTGGAACATCATCTGGAAGAAGGCCTGGACAGAGTGCCCTCCTTGGCCAACACCATTGAAGACAGTGGTTCTTTCCTGCCCACCCCAGACTCCCAAGTTGCATGGAAGATGTGCTGGGGCCTCTGCTGCTGCATCTTGAAGACCCAAAACTCTAGTCCTTGGTGGATCTGCTATGCCTTCACTGGGCAGAGCACTCACGTGTGCCCCTGTGTAGAAAATACCAGTTCACATGCATGTCCCCTGCTGCCTGTGAGGGTGTGAATCAGGATAAGAAGAGTTCATATATAGGCAGAGGCCATACACATCAGTTCCAGGGTGTCTACATGGATTGATACATTTAGTGTTCAGATTATTTTCTCTCATAAATAAGGACGTTCAGGCAGAAATTCCGCCTATTTTCCTGTGCAATGATGAGTGATGGTGACAGCCAGTGTTCAAGTTGCACAGTCACTGTGTGCACTAAGCTGCTGTCTGATACACCAGCGATGAACCTGAAATTAAAATAATGAAAAATAAAAACAATAGCGTGCATAATACAAAAAAGCAAGCAGAAAGGAAAGCAGGAAAGAAAGATATGGCCCAGCATAACTCCAAGAAAATACATATAAAATTTGGTGTGGTAAACAATGAAAATAGTTATAATAAAGGATGTCAAATGTCTGTCCATGGAGTTTACATCCTGGTATTTGGCAGAGTACCATTAAGATATCCAGTCTTCCAAATTAGACCAGCGGGTTCAGTGTCATACCACTAAATGTTTCACAAGATATTCTAAAGAGAATGATGAGTTTCCTCAATGCTAGGTAAATTAGACAGTAATAAAAACAATGAAAATGAACAATTCACATTTCTTGATTCCAAGATTTCATAATGAAAGGGTAGACATGTGGATAAGTGGATCAGCACATGTAGAACCAGCCCCAGGATCTATCATGCTATACCTGGGTGTCCAGCAGCCCCAAAGGCTCAAGTCTGCCCCGACAACTTTCCTCATGTTTCCCTTGCTTGAAATTCAGGAATAATTGGAGGTGACTTACACATGCACCACCTTATCAACGGTGTGTGACACCTCTGTGATTGTGCGTCTGTCTTAAGTGCTCACAAGCTCACCAACGAGCTCTCCTCAAGGCTTTTCTTTCCTGGCTGTCTTTCAGTCTTTGCCAGTAGCTGGTAAGCCGAGGGTAGTCCTGAGCCTTCTGTGGTAGAGATGAGCATGAAATAGGCAATCCTTGCTCTCATTTTGGTGAACTGTATCTTCCCAAGGTCTGTAGACGAGGAAGAAGATGAAACATTAAGGATAGTACTTTTCACCCCATATAAAAAGACTCATCTCTGTCTGTCATTTTCTTTCTCTGTCCCTGTCTCTGTCTCTCTCCCCCTCCCCAATTTTGAAATTAATTTTACTGGTACATTTTAGATATACAGAATGTTCACATTCATTAGAGGAAGTTTACCTGTACATGATACTTATTCTTTTTGCCCTTTTTTCCTTTCCCCTTTTACACATCCTAATTTCCTCCTGAAACCCCTTCCTCCCTTCAGCCCCTCTTCCTCCCCTTATTCACAAAAGCTTTTTTCCATTTCTTTCTTCTACTCTTTTCGTTTTGTTTCTTTCCTTTCTTTCTTCTGCCCAATCTTTTGTTTCCCTTCTCATTTGAATATATTTCTTCCACTTTCTCAGTATCTATTATATGTTTTGTTCATTATTTACCCTTTCAGTTTCTCCCACTAGCAAGACAATATGATATTTAAACACGTGTGTCCATGTATTTCATTTAAGAGTATGGACTCTTTTTCCCTTCCTTCCCTTCCCCACTCTCCACTTCCTAGTTCCCTTTTCTATGAAGAATTTCTTCCTGTTTCACAATATTTTTTTTTATTTTATGCAAAAAAAGTAAAAGAATAGGGCCTGCCTGGTAAGCCCGAGGTCATGAGTTCAATTCCAGGTACTGGAAAAAAAACAAAAAAATAAAAAAAGTAAAAGAAAAATTCATAACAAAAGCACAGGAGATTAACAGTTGTTAATACATTACATGTTGTTATCTTTAAAGTAGTTGCTCAGGATAAAGATATGCATGTAAAAATTTCTGCAATTGATATTACCATGAACTTTTCTTTTTAGTGAACTCAGAGACACAAATACTATGATGACTGGCATGTTTCCCTTTTTCCTGTTTTCCTTTCCCCTTTCACCCATCCTAGCTCCTTTTTCCTTTCAAACAATTTCTTCTCATTTCATAATATCTGCTGGATATTTTAGAATTTATTTGTTGTTTCAGTTTCTCACACCGAGGAGACAATATGACGCTTATATATGTGGGTCTGATTCATTTCACTTTTGAGTGCGCTGTCACATTGCATCCACTTATCTTTCATACATTTTCCTTTTTTTTTTTTGCACATTTAGTATCTCATACAGATGTGATACATGCAGTACTTATATTTGTGATTCTAATTTATTTCACTGAAGAGTATGTCTTCAAAGTGCTTAAATTTACCTACAAATGTCTCAAATTTTTCCTTCTTTATGTCTGAGTAGTACTCCATTGCATAAAATATCCATTCCTCACTTGATGATCATTTTAGTGGTTTTGAAGATTTACTATTACAAAGTTTGCTGCCATAAACACGAGTTTGCATTTATCAGTCTGGCATGGTGTTTTCAACTATTCTTCATAGATATCCAGAAGTGGAATTGTTGTATCAAGTGGGATCTCTAATCCCAGTTTATTGAGGACTGCTCTCATGGATTTCCACAGTGGACGTACCAGTCTAAACTCCCACCAACAGTGCAAAAGTGTTCCTTTCTCCTCACAGCCTCTCCAGCATTTATTATTGGTTAATTTCTTGATAATACCCATTTTATAATACCCATTTTATTTTAATTATTTAAAAAATGACAAAACCACAAGGAAGACAAAATCAAAACAACACAAAAAGAACCAAAATGATACATATCCTCAAAACAAAGTGATAGAAATTTACAAGGGTTGCTATATTACATATGATTATTGTCAATGAAGTTGCTCAGTCCACTAGACACAAGAATGTAAGATTGATCAAATAATCAAAGATAGTAACAAGTAAAACGTAAATAAATAAAAATAAAAAAAATATTGGAAATGGTGCAAAGCTTCACCATACAAGAGAGTAGAAGTTCAACGATGGTTCTTATTCTGTTATTTTCAGATCACTCATTCTGATTACCAAATTCAAGTGTGCAAAATTGGTCAAGAAAGAAGAAAATTCTAAGCACTGACTGTTCTGTTCGACAAACCACAGCCATCAGAAATACGCCTATTCCCCCTATCCTTATATATACATATAAACGTTTTTTATTTAAAAAGCAAAATAATAAAAACAAATACATAAATGAAACAGCATAGAGAACAATAAAAATGGTACAGAATTCCAAAACACGGTGATAGGATATTAACAATGGTTGTTATATTACATAATGTCATCTTCAAAATGGTTGCACATATCACCAGATATAGGCATGCAAGACTGATGAAACAATTACACATTAACAGTTCCTTTCAATAAACCAACAGGTATTATTATTATTGTACAATTATCCTAGCTATCCTGTTTATATTCATATTTTTCCCTCTTCCTTCTTCCTTTTTCCTCTCTCTGCCACCATCCTAGTTGCTCCTTCGTATTTGAGCAGTTTCTTATCTCTTTCACAGTATCTATTGTACTTTTCAGATTTTATTTACTCTTTCAGGTTACTATACTAGGGAGGAAATATGATGTTTACACATGTGAATCTGATTTATTTCACTAATGAGTTGATCAATTTACCTATAAAAGCCTCCAGTTTATCTTTCTTTATAGTTGAGTAAAACTCCATTTGATAAAAATACCACATCTTTTTAATCCATCCCTCAGTTGACAGACATTTGGGTTGATTTCAAGATTTCGCTATGAAAAATTGTGATGCTATAAACACGGGTGCACATATAAATCTTTGTGGTATGATGTTTGCAGTTCTTCTGGAAAAATACCCACAAGGGGAACAGCTGAGTTGAAACAGACCTCTAATCCTAGTTTACTGAGGAGTCTCCAGCCTGGTTTCCACAGTGGTTGCACCAGTCAACACTCCCACCAACAGTGGAGAAGGGTTCGTTTTTCCCCACAGCCCCTCCAGCATTTGTTATGAGTTGATTACTTGATAGCCATTTTTTCTGGAGTAACAGGGAATCTCCATATTGTTTTAATTTGCATTTCTCAAATGACTAACGATGTTGAACATTTTTTTCATGTATTCATTTCCATTTGCATTTCTTCATGTGAGAAGTGTATATTCATGTCAGATGTCCATTTTTGGACTGGGGCTTTGAATTTTGGGGGCCTAATTTTTTAAAATTCTTTATATGTTCTAGACAAGAGTCCTTTGTCTGAGGGACAGTTGGCTAACATTTTTTCTCAATTCATGGGTTTCATTTTCACCCTGTTGGTGATGTCATTTGATGTTCAAAAACTTTTCACTAAGATAAAATTCAGTTGTTGGTTCTTTGAAATATTTTCTGCGCAGTTTGGTTTTTGTTCATGAACTCTCTACCTACCTTTTTGTCTTCAAGACTTCCACCTACTTTCTCTTCCAATATATCTAGTTTTTCTGTTTTACTATTTGAATCTTTAAGCCATTTTGACTGTATTTTGGTGCATGGTGATAGATTTGGGTCTAGTTTTACTCTTCAGCATGTGGAAATCCAGTTTCTCTAGCACCATTTATTAAAGAGCTTATCTTTCTTCCAGTGAGCATGTTTGGCCCCTTTGTCAAAGACAAGGTGGCTGAGTATGGTTGTGGCTGTGTCTACATCTTCCAGACTGTTCCACTGATCTTCAGGTCTGCTTTTTGTGCCAATGAGATGCTGATTTTATCACAGCAGCTTTGTCATATAATTTCAAATAAGGGATTGTGATGCCTCCTGCCTTGCTTTTGTTGCCCAGGATTGCTTTTGCTATTCTGGGTCTCTCTTGGTTCCAGATAAATTTTAGGAATATTTTCTGTAGGTCTGTGAGGTATACCAATGATATTTTTATTCAAATTGCAATGAATGTGTATAACAATTTTGGGAGTACGGTCATTTTCACAATGTTGTTTCTTCCTATCCATGAGCAAGGAATATCTTTCCATTCTTTCCAATCCTCTTCAATCTCTCTTTTCAGAGTAGTGTAATTTTCACCTTATAGATCTTTTATTCTTTTGTTAGATTGATTCCTAATTATTTCAATTTTTAGATGCTATTGTGAATGGTATGGTTTCCCTTATTTCTCTATCAGTATGGTTGTTTGTGTATAGGAATGCTATTGATTTTTGATCACTGACTTTGTATCCAGCTATGCTACTGAATTTGCTGATCAATGGTAGGAGTCTTTCGGTAGAGTTCTTGGGGTCTTCTATGTGGAGTATCATGTTATCTGTGCATAAAGATAATTTCATTTCTTCCTTTCCTATCTTTATTCATTTTATTTTTCTCTCTGGTCTAATTGCTCTGCTAGTGTCTCCAGAACTATACTGAATAGAAGTGGTGACAGTGGACATCCTTGTCTTGTTCCTGACATTAAAGTGAAAGCTTTCAGTTTTTGTCCATTTAGCATGATATTGGTTCTTGGTTTGTCATCAATGGCTTTGTTCAGATTGAGGTAAACTCCATCTATACCAATTTTCTGTAAGGTTTTTATCATGAATAAGTGTTGGAATTTATCAAAAGCTCTTTGTGCATCTATTGAGATCATCATGTGATTTTTGTCTTTACCTCTGTTGATATGGTGTATTACATTGACTGATTTGTGTATATTGAACCATCCCTGCATTTTTCAGATGAATCCAACTTGGTCATGGTGTACTATCTTCTTGATGATTTGCTGGATGCTATTAGCTAGTATTTTATTGACAATTCTTGCATCTATGTTCATTAGTGAGATTGGCCTATAGCTCTCTTTATGCTAGTTCCTTTTCTGGTTTTGGTATCAGGATAATACTTGCCTCCAGGAATGAGTTTGAGAGAATTGCTTCCCCTTCTATTTCTTTAAAGAGTTTGAGAAGAATTGATATTAAATCTTCTCTAAATTTCTTGTAGAATTCAACTGTGAATCCATCAGGACCTGTACTTTTTTGTTGGTAGGTTTTTTGTCACATTTTCAATTTCATTGGCTGATGTTGGGTTATTCAAGATGTTTATATCTTCTTCATTCAATTTTGGTAATTCATATGTATCTAGAAATCTTTCCATTTTTTCTGTGTTTTCCATCC